ACGTCAATTGACGTGCAAAATTAAACACTTGTTTTACCAGTGTTACCTAGCCAGGCAAACCAAATGGCTAAGGTTTCAGGACTAACATTTTGAAGTAGTTTTCGTTAAGTACCCTCACATGCCTGTTAACTCCTCTTGGGTGTCAGGGCCGTAGGCCTAGCCCTGTTGCCCCTGCAGCCCCGTAACCGTACGAGTATTCTGTAAGATATCGCGAAGCCCGTGACACAAGACGTGGTCTAGCCTACGTCGACACTACTTTTGTCAGGGCGTTTTATAAACTAGAACCGTGAAGAAGTAACTTACCACGTCGATGATATGGTGAAGGGACACGCCAAAAGTGACCTGGAGCGGCATCGACGCGTTTTCCACGGGCCGAACTGAGGCGTCGTACTTGTCCATGAGGAAGCGAGTGAGACGGTACTCATTGTCATCTGCAAGGCCTGAAAACACACACCAAAGAAAAATGGTTTATTTTCCACAATAAAGAGCTTCAGGTCCGGCCGGGCCTAACTTCCTCGGCCGGGACACGGCCTAGTGGGCTCAGCAGCCCAGCCGCGGCAAGGTCCTGCCCAGCCCGACCCGGAATGCAAATATAATAGCGCTCTCGTTGATTCTTGGCTCCTACTTTTTGAGATGGAATCTGCATTCCATCGAATGGAAAGAGGATGAAAGTTTCTTCAGGGGTCACGTCAGCTGATCGCATGAAAGAAAAAAATGCCATCTCCCCTGTACCCAGTAGAATATGCCAGTCCGTAGTAGTAGATTTTCGTTTCTTTTGGTGAGGCTCCGCTGTCACTGCTGATGCTGGACCAAAGCTGCGTAGGTGCTCCTCAAGGACTTCCCTTTTCTGGAGGATCGTAAAACTCTTTAACTTCAGTTAAACATATTTTTTTCTGTGCAGATTAGAATTGGTGGGGTGTTTAAATCGCACTCATTTTCTCTTCCGAGCAGTGCAATTACACTTTGTTAAAAAAGTGTCAATTTCAACTTTTGGCAAGAGCGGGAGCAGGCAGTAGGGACGTCGATAGAACGGCAAAGTTTGCGAGTCCCAGACGCAACGCGGTGCTCGTTAGGGGTTGGTTTTCATTGCAATATGGCTAACGGTGCTTCAGATCTAGTCCCACGCCCGACCACCCTTCACACGACAGCCGCTCCACCCCCTCATCCGCCGCGACCAGCAAACATAAGTTGTGCGAGAAACTGCTGCTCTGTGACGCCTCCGCCCGCGACCGCAACAATGCTCTTTGAGAGGAAGGGAGAGGAATGAGGAGGGAGCGAGAGGAAGAGAGCGAGAGAGCGAGAGAGCGAGAGAGAGAGAGAGAGAGAGAGAGAGAGAGAGAGAGAGAGAGAGCAGATAGCTAGGTAAGAAGATGCAAAGAGGAAATGAGGTGAGCAGGTGCCAGAAAGGGGGAACGGGTAGCTCAAGAGAGAGAGAGAGAGAGAGACGAAAGTCATTTCACGGGAAGAAAAGCCTGAAACGGAGGAGGAAAAGCAGGCCTGAGAGAGAGAGAGAAAGAGAGAGAGAGAGGAGAGAGGTAGGGATCGTGCCTCACGGTGATGGAAACGTCATGCACTCTGTCTCGGGGGGTTTCGGCTCGGTCGATCACATTCATGTAACCAGACGGGGCGGGGTGGGACGTGGTGGGGCAAGCCCGCGGGGGGCGAGGTGTCAGGTTGAGATATATACTACAGAGATCGTCGTTTCCCGCGATACTGCCGAAAATAAACGTGATTTACAAATATACCTATAAATAATGATTCTTTTTTATTTATACATTTTACTTACAATTTTCAAAATGTATCTTTTCGCAGGACATTAGGGATCTTGATAGAGATCGTTGTTTAGATCTATTGACCCAAGACTTCGGATATGGTTTCGGATTTTTTTTACTTTCGAAAATTAAAGGTATTCATGAAATATGAACCCACTGCAAATCTGGGCTCTATAGTAGAGTGTTTCACTTTTCACTTAAGTTCCGAAAAACATTCCGCACTTCCCCTACATCGACTCCTTTTTTAAAATGAAGAAATACTTGTCGTGTCCCTGTACCACATCTGGTTTACAGCTTTTTCTTTTTTTGAATATTACCTCCACAAAAATTAGAGGATGTTAAGGGACCTTTTAAGAAGCTGAAACAAAATTTAGTGACAACACTGTTTTTTGTTTGGCGAAGATCATCGCCATTTCTTGCCAATGAAAACGCCCTCATTGCCACTGGGTTGACAATGAAGCGCCTTTTTGGCAAACAACTTTGTTTGGCGGTGGGACATTTTCACTACGACTACAATGGCGATGGGCCGCTCATTGCCAACCCAGTGACAATAAAGCCATTGCCAAAAACTGGCAAGGGGAAATAGCCAAATGAAAAATCAGCAAAGACATGGGAAATAATCCCCACATTATTCTCATGTTTGTGCATTGCCAAAATCTTGGCAATGACTTCATCGCCGCAAATTTGGCAATGAAACTCCATTGCCAATATTTTTGCGATGAAACTCCATCGCCAATATTTTTGCGATGAAACTCCATCGCCAATATTTTGGCAATGAAACTCCATTGTCAATTTTCTGGCAATGAAACTCCATCACCAAGATTTTGGAACTAAACAACAGGCCAATAATTTGGGGAGTGTATTCATCGTCTTCACTGTTTTTTCGTTTGACTATTTTACATTGCCAGTTTTTGGCAATGGCCTCATTGCCACAGGGTTGGCAATGAGGGGCCCATCGCCACTGTAGTGGTTGTGAAAATGTCCCATCGCCAAATGAAATTCAGTAAATTTGAGATCATATGTTTTTGCTATGAGAGTTACGCCAATATGCTAAATTTTGTCGATATCTCTGATCGAAGGGTAGAAAACAAACCCATCACTGGGGTTTTAGAATCAGTTTTTATCCTTTTATACATGGTGAAGTCAGATTTTACCTCACCCGATAGATTCATGGAGTAATGAAGTAATGAGTACACCACCTTTTAAGCAGCTATTTAAGCCTCCAAACTTTAAGAATTTATATCCCCTAAAACCGTTTATGGTACAAAGCCCAGATTTGCAGTGGGTTAACCCACTGAAATATGAATTCATATTTTTTAAATACCTGTAATTTGGGAGTGTAAAAACAAATCCAAAACCAGACCCAAAATCTTGGGTCAATGATGCACAGAACTTAGCATCAGTTCTATGATACTTGATAATGATAATTATCTAAGTAACAGGATGAGAGATGTCGCGGCGAGATCGGGCAATAGCCTATAGAATTCGTTTCAATGTTGTTTAAGAAGATTGCATTTTAAGCACTCGATGGAACTAGCAAACAAAGTTAAACAAAGTTTTCGTCCATAGCCGCAGATAAGAGATTATGGACATAAAATCGTGTCATTTTATAGACAATAGACATATTGTGTCATTAGAAGGGACAAAATGTTCTTTTCAAAATTTGTTCCTTCCTTGTAAACAAATTCGTTGCGAAACAAGGGACGGCTTTACACGTCCACTCGCTGGGACAAATGTCTTGACTAAGAAACAGGTAACAAATTTATTAGGAGAGAACAAAACTGAAAATTGTACTCCAAAGCAACAATTTTGTCAGCCATGGGATGCGTGTAAATCCGTTCCCACTTTACGGACAAAATTAATCTTCTACTTTTAGAGTGTGCGTCCGCCCAGATTGAGTTTCTTACTGCGTTATAGTCTCGGTCTATAGCCTATGGTACTACTACGTATATTGCCGTGCCGAACTGCTATAAAGCTCAAGTTATAATTGCGATGTAGTCGATATTTAGAGGTAGAGGTAACGATTCAGTGCATGGAGACAGTTTTCCAAAAGAGCGTGCAATTAAGGGGCCTCATTCGCCTCCCGCGCCTCCGGCGGGGCCTGCCCTTCGGCCCCGCGCGGGGTGACGTCCGATAAAGATAAACACGTCGGCTAATTGCGCCTCCCGCGCCGCCCCAGAGCTTAACGGCGACAATAGTGCGCTTTAAAACTGGCCGGCCGCCTGGAACCCCCTTCTAATTCTCTCTCTCTCTCTGTCTCTCTCTCTCTCTCTCTCTCTCTCTCTCTCTCTCTCTCTCTCTGTGTCTCTCTCTGTCTCTCTCTCTGTCTCTCTCTCTCTCTCTCTCTCTCTCTCTCTCTCTCTCTCTCTCTGTTCCTGCGAGACTCGATCGGGGCTGCCTCCAGAGCAATCCACGTGCTTTGTCTGACGCCGTGCCGCGGCCTCTCTGCGCAGCAACGGGGCGGGACGCTTCGAACGCGGGGCTCTCCAAGTGTTATACACGGCCATCTTACGCCCCCTTCTATCCTGTCGCAAACACTCTCTGCCCCCCTGCTCCTCTCTCTCTCTCTCTCTCTCTCTCTC